GGGCATTCCCCTCCCCCCCAACTTGTATGTTAAAAAAGGCCCTGAGCTAAAAAAAAGATGTCACAAACGTGATGGCCCCATGTATATGGATATATACCTATTCGTCCCTATAAAATTGAAATTCAAATAACGACTGGGGACGAGTCTGATGCTAGGTAGTAATAAGCTCCTGTGGATTGTGTCAGAACAACCTAAAAAGGATGTCACAAACGTGGTGATCCGGTGTAGTAGGAATATTTCTAAATAAGCTACCATAGATGATAGATTATGTCTGAATGACTACCTGAAAAAGATATCTCAAACGTGTTGGTTCAGTGCATGTAGGTAGTATTCTGCAATAAACTGTCGTGGTTTGTAATTGTATCTGAACTAGTACGTGAAAAAGATATCTTAAACGTGGTGGTCCAGTGTAGGTTGAGGTGTAGGTCGTGGACTCGTGGTTTGTATCTGAACTACCTGAAAAAATATCTCAAACGTGTGGGTTCAGTGTAGGTCGAGGTGTAGGTAGTAATCTACAATAAGCTGTCGTGGTTTGTGTCGTTTGTGCCGGTTAGCCTGCGAATACAGTCTCTATTTATATCGCTTATTCCACTGGAGGAATAAGCGATATAAATAGAGTCTGTATTCGCAGGCTAGGTTTGTGTCTGAAGTTCTGAACTACCTGAAAACGATATCTCAAACGTGGAAGTCCAGTGTAGGTAGTATTGTACAATAAGCTGAAATGGTTTGTATCTGAACTTGGCCTGCCCGTCGCCAGTATGGCAGTATCCCCCTGCCCCAATCCACTCCTCTCGACGAAGGAACTTTAATTGCTCGAAACGTCGAATGGCTTTAAGAATAACGAGGTAGCTATCACTTCTGACACACTAAAATAAAGACATAAAGTGTACCCTCAGAAGTGTACCATCATTACTTGACGTCACCCGATCATGGGCCGAGACTTCTCCGAATGATCTCGGAAACTCCAGACAATTGTTTTCCATATATGGTAAACATAATTCTTTCCTAACCGGAAGTTAGGCGGAACATGAATACATGACAATGTCAAAATAATTTTGTCATCCTACAGCTAGCAGGATCTCCATGTTTGCCAGTATTTTATAACCAATCTTTACGAAATATTTTCCAACAACAATGGGGGTTACCTCCACTGTATATTGTGGGTGTATTTTTCTATTGGTGATGATTTTAAGAGCTAAAACAGGTGAGATAAGAGTACTTAGTTTATTGTACGTAGTTTGCCTCCCTTTCATTATAATGTGTGTACTTTGTATGAACCAAATAAACGTATTAATGCGAATGTTTGTCGATTGCTTTCATAACTAAGAGCTGTTGGATGTGTTTAGTGAATATTAGAAATATCGTAGTTTGTAAGTTTTGCATTTAAACATTTGATTCTTGGTGTATACTGGCAGTTGATTTCATGATTCAGTGATTCACTAACCACCATCTTTAATAATATTAAAGGCGAACACTACGTATATTTATTATTTATTACTGCAAGGAACTTAAGCTCCGTTGAAACGAGGATGAGAGTTAATGAGAATTAGCAGTCACGAGTTGTTACAGGGGATATTTCAAGTTCTAGATCAACAAGATATAGGTTTGACACTTTCATGATACATATTTAGTGTCGGGACAGCATGAAGAACAGCAGTCAAACCAAGGTCGTGTGACTACCAACTCTCTCGATTATGCACTCTCTTCGTTTGATTCGGGCTTTATAATATTACATAGGAAACTATACAAACACTATCCATTCACGTAAGACAAAATGAGCTGTAAGACTTAGTTTGAAATCCCTTTCTCCACATTATTAATATATCTGTATTTGATCTCTTCGTTTCAAGTACATACATTATACATTATACTTATAAATTTGTAACTATTTAGATGCAAAGTTGACAGAAGATATACTGAATCACAATACTGAACTATTAAAAACTTTAAAATCATACGAGGTTATTAAACCGTACAGACTTGAAGGTCGAGTGAAACGTCACGCTTCCACAAAAATGTCGGTATGTTTAGAACGTTTTTAAAAGTATTGTAATTTAATTTATGCTTTAAAACAAATTACTTTAATTTACAAAATCTTCGGTTATTATATTTGCTAAATTATAGTATTTGTACTGTAATATTTCGTGTTGTTTAGATTATAGTTTATATTAAATGCTGTGATAATTAAGTTAAATATTAACTTAAAATTGTACACCTAATTATGGTTTAAAGAGTCTTACATGTAGCAGTTTAGATATCTGCCTGATGTTGTTCTTTATATCTGCTTCGATAGTCTGGTCATCTTCAAGATACAACTATTGTATTTCCTGGTAAAAAAAGGCATTTTCATCTGGACATATCCCTTAACACGTGAGTTTGAAACAAAGATGCAACATCCTTTTCTAATTTCTATCATTTTTGCCCCAAATGAATATTCAACTATATTCATTACGGATATTATGTGGCGCATTTCCTGTTATTCTTTTCCAACACAAAGATGTTTTAAAGTATTGGGTTAGTTTATATACCATGTGTGTTTAGCCCCATATGGTTTTAGCATATGTCAATTATAATCTGACCACACTGATCACCAGACAAATGTATCATTCAGAGAAGTAACAGTGGGTGGGAAATATCATGTGTAATTTAAAGGGGTGGTACTTTTGTACGTGCTGTATTGTGATGTCATTGTAATTATATGTATACTCTGCCAATATCAAGAATGGGTTCCAATATGGCATAAGATGTTACACAGCACATAGGAAATTGTTTACAAAAACATTAATGGTTTTGAAGATGGTAAATAATAATATTCTCATTTGTAAAACCCATCAATGGATATTAGGTGATGCTAATAGGTTTTTGTTGATGTAATGTGTATATTGGTGACATTTAAGTGAATCAAAATTCTTACAGTTTGTACGTGTATTATTTTCACATCAATGCTTTTCAATAATTTGAATGGTTTTAATGGGAAAGGCATTTTGAAAAGAATAAACCATTAATGGATTATACTATAGACTAAGCTTATATTTTTCACATTAATTTAATGAATTTGTTGATGGGAATTATCAGTATACTATAATTATAGAACTTAATTTTTCCATTCATTTTTTTGTTGGGTTTTTTTGTATGTTCATGCAACATACTGTAGATCTATAGTTAGGTCCTATTGTACCGCCTTGTCCCCTCACTTGTCCCAAGGCACTTTCAATTGCTACATGCATTGCCTCATGAAGAGTGAGTGCAAGGCTTAGGGATGCTAGCTGCCTTGCACCTTCAATCTTTCCTATGATGAGCCTCTGACATCGACTTAGATGAATTGGGCAACCACATCTTGCATGTGTATATATGCGTAAATAACCTTAATTAATTAAGTAGTAATGTGCCCTACTTAATTATTTTACTGTGTCTAAAAAGAGACGATTTTACTTATTTATGGGAGAGTGCTGCAACTTAATGGGTAAATAAATTAGATTTATTTTCTGCTTTTTAATTGGCTAAATTATCTTAAATCTGCAAACTTATAGGGGTTTGTTCAGTCCACAATTTGAAGAACATTATGTTTCAAATGATGCTCCTGAATTGGCAAGACAGGTACATATAGAAACAATTTGCATTCCAGTACTGGCAGTATGTATCATTGATAATGATTATAGGTATCTATATAAATACCTTTTATTATATGGACCAGTGTTCTAATTACATTCAGTCTCCATAATACAAGCACGAAGGTCTGACTGTACCATTTATTAAGCTTAGCATTACAACACATGATAGCTTTTTCAATAATCACATAATTTGTATACTGTATATATATGCTAGTTAAAATAGTTTCAGAATTTTTAAAATTTTTATTCAGATACCTCATGAGCATTGTTTTTATCATGGGACGGTCAAAGAAGAAGAAAATTCAGATGTTTCATTGAGTACTTGTGATGGAATAGAGTAAGAATAATTCTCATATGTAACTTAATTAATTGTGAAAATGGCTTAATTCTCTTAATTTGTTCAAGGCTATAAAAATTAGAAGCTTAGGAAGCTTCGGTCATTCATTGATGAACATGTCTATAAAACAGTGAATAATATCACAAACAAGCATGCATAAAACAAACAGTACATAATGATATGGGTGCAATTATACAAATTAAGAGTAGACCCAACCAGATTAAAATGGGAACAAACCACAAAGTCTCATATAAACTAGGTTCCACTTCCACCATATTAAATTAAATTTCAACATATATTAGGACAATACACAGGGACGCCGGAACGATGTGAAGGCAAAGGGGGCAGATTTTCGTGAAAGGGCACTTTTGAATTGATATATACTAAGAGATGTTTACAAAACATCGGGAGTTGAACTTTGCCTAATCATTGTTTTCTATTTATTAGATAATAGGGGTGTGAGGGGGTTCTCTGCCAGGTGATTGTGCTTTTTTTGAAGCTTGATGACTGCATTTCTTGCATTTTCTGAAGCAAATTCGTAAAAAATGGCACTAACATTTCTGACAATTCGCTATTTCGCCAAGGCAATCCTTTAAATTGAAAGGGCACCTTTGCCCCCCTTGCCCCTCCTGGTAAAGGGCAACGGGGGCGGCTGCCCCTCCTGCCCCCCCCCAGTTCCGGCATCCCTGACAATATGTATTACCTTTAAAACAAATTTACTGATTGCCAGTACATTTGTAACATTGACAACAATATCCAGGTGATAAGTTCTTTGTATGTTTGCATGGTGATAAAATATAATTTAGTTTTGTTTGTGGAAACACCATGTAAATTTATTACTGCAAAGCTTTCGATCCGTAAGCCCGGATCTTCATCAGTGCTAATAATATGATTATTAGCACTATTATTAGGCACTGATGAAGATCCGGGCTTACGGATCGAAAGTTTTGCAGTAATAAATTTACGTGGTGTTTCCACAAACAAAACTATTAATGTCCAGGTGCATGATATATCTTCTCAGTGTTGCTTCAATTTTTTGTTGTAATTTTAGAGGAGTTATCAGAACAGATGATGGTACTTTTTATATCCATCCTTTAAAGTCTCAAGATGGTCAAGTATGTTTTTGAAGCAAAATTAAAGTCTAGTGTATTGTACTGTTGTACATTGCTTAGTATGCAGGACTTCCCTTGACAAGTAAAATTGTCTGGCTTTAGATATTATAGTAAAATATAATAAAGTAGGGTGCATTTGGTTAACAAGGCACACTGGCAGATAGTTTGGTTAATAACACATTAGCGACTCTCCCAGTTAGAGAGTAGTGTTGGACAGACACTTAGGGACCGGTCATTATTTATGGAAGGGGGGGAGGGAAAAAATAAGGGGGAGGGGGCATATGTAGAAATAAATGCCAAGAAGAGGGGGCTATTAAATTTTTTCAAGAAAATGATGGGGGGGGGGGTGCAATTAAATTTGAAGGAATTTGCTTAATAACCTGGTATCCATTTGGTTGTAAATGTTGCAACTAAATCATGGTCACTGATGTGAAATAGTCTGGATTCATCTTGTCTTGTGTGTGCTGTATGCAAATCAGTCTTTACGGGTTGCAGACTAGTTAAATTGACGCATTATTTATTTATTTATTTATTTATTACATCAGCTCTTGATGTGGTTAAATACATTTAAATTAAGCAAGATTAACAGCGGATGTATTATGCAGGCCACATCTGCTGAGGGGAGTCTGTGACGTCATATTGATCAAAGAGGGTTGTTTCATGCCTTGTGATCAGTGCTTCGGTCTGGGAATTCATTCTGCCATTGTATGCTTTGCCTGGCTGCAGCAGGTTTTGCGCTTCGATACCTTTTCCCCACCCACCCACCCATGTTCATTCTAAAGGATTTTATCTGGTAGCTAGTAACTATATGTCACTTTATTTTATATAATTTTTAATCTCACATAAAATGGGATGTATAGACCACTATACATTGTATTTCGCAGGTATGCCTTGGCAGAATTGTCATTGCTATCTCCTTTTGCTGCTAATATTGCTGATTGTTGCTCTCATTGTTGCTGCGCAGCTGCTATGGCAATACTTCGTACCATCAAGTCTAGTTGCAGCCTTAAACATGGTTACAATCGCCCAGACCAAATGGAAACCTGTTTTTAGTGTTATATATAAAAAATACTCCCCTTTTAATTATAATTTTCTGCTAATATATATTTTTGGTCGACGTTAATATCTTGCCAGTTCCATATTCTTATTTAATAATTAACACTATAACGCCTGGGTATCACCATTTGACGAGTAAAAATGAAAATGGAAGGGGGGGTCAAAGAAGGGGGGGTCATCATTAAATTAGGGGGGGGGTTCAATTTTAAAAATTTGGAAAGGAAAAAATTCCCCTCCCCCCTTCCATAAATAATGACCGGTCCCTAAACGCGTAAGTTAAAACTACAATTGTCTCGAACATTTTTATGTAAATTATTAATAAGTAATAGCATGGTTTCTCGTGAAATTTGGTAAACATGCACTCGTGAGTTTTTCAAAGACCTCAAATAGCACTCGTCCTTCGGACTCGTGTTATTTTTTGAGGTCTTTGAAAAACTCACTCGTGCATGTTATATCCAAATTGCACTCGAAATCATGCTATTACCTATACAAAGCGCACGATTTCTGCTCTTGGGAATTTAAAACAGCTTCTTAAACGGTTTCTTTATGCATAAAATTTACTTACGTCAAGTGAGTGCTGAGGCATTCAAATTCTAACAATACGTTTATTTCAATAGTTTTCGGGTTTTTTGGGACGAAAACCATTGATATCACTTATTGTTAAAATTAAATGCCCTACCAAAAAGCTGAACGTAATGATGCGTAAAATATTGACAAGGTGCATGTATTAAAATTTAGTTAAGAAATCTCCTGTAAAGTGCGCGATTTTGTGCTCTTGGGAATTTAAAGCAGCTTCTTGAATAGTTTCTTTATGGATAAAATTTACTTATGTCAATCATTTATGCACTCGTGGGAACCAACAGAGTGCTAAGGCATTCAAATTCTAACAATTAAATTGTTATTGGTGATTTCAATAGTTTTCGGGTTTTTTTGGGACACCCTGTAGAAGATTGAGCAACAACAGCTTGATTTCTAAAGATCTCGTTTGTTTTTATACTTGGGATAAAAGACAACAGAACCGCGCCAGGCTTGGTACCAATTTCAACGAAAGAATTTTTACACGAACCGTACAAAAAAATTCTGCGGTGTATAAATGTGCCTTCAATAATCGTTCTTCTTATATATTCAATTTTTTTACGATTTAAAATAACTCTCATGTCAAAAGATCTCAAAATTAGGAACATGCGATTACCAGATTGTAAATTTAATTGTAGAAAAAGGGAAAGCCAGAAAAGCCGCTTATGGAAGCACATTCCTGAACGTTAATCAAGGTGAACATATTTGAATAAGAATCAAAGTAAAAACCAAAATTTATCCCACTGAGCTTTAGAAATTTTGCGGGTCTCGCTTCAAAGCATGTCGATCACTGCTAAACATTACATACATATATCTGCATTCGGCACAGAGCTTTTCACATTTTTCTGACTTTACTAAAGTTTATGTTTGAGTATAAAGTGTTGTGATTGCTGTTGTCAACCTATACTACCCCTTAGTGGTCGGTACAGTCCCTATAGTTATCGGAATACAAACAGCTGATAGTTGCTTGGCTTCCGCTTTGGTTTGTGGTAGTGGATACTTATTTATCAGGTAAGTGCTCCTATATAATAAATCTCCATCCAAGCGAGTAATGGTTGTAATGAATAGGGTTGGCTGAAATTTAGATACATTAAAATTAAACATGTTATTAGAGAAAGATATCGTTACAATAATACCGAATATGGACAATATAACATTCCTTATATTAGTAAGTTCTGTACAAAAATCCCGTGATTTCGCCATAAATAGTCCTTGAAATCAGTAATGTTGTTACAAGTTGGTGATGACTAAATTCAGTTTACGAATTACTGTAGACTATTAGGTGAAAGGGTAAATATCAAGTTTTTTTGCACTGGAATCGCAGGACCGAAGGATCGATCTTGCTAGAGGGCCTATATAGAAAGAGAGTTAGGCTATGCCGGCTTAGGTAACTGGCTTCATTCAGATATATTAATTTGTTAACCAGCAACTACCAATTTAGATTCTGATCCTGCATGAGAGTCGCATTAAAATGATTATAAACAATTGTAACTCTAATTCACGTATATGACCTTAAACTCTCTACAACTCTTATAGGGCCTGTTAAGCAAAAGTTTGTTCTGTTAATATGGAGAAACGTTATCCCGCTTACCGGGTAAAGTTTCCGGCTGTGACGGAACACTGAACATGAATTGAATTGAAAAGTTGCTGATACGACAGAAAGTTATCCCGCTAAGCGGGAAAGTTGTGTTCACATGGGAAAAACATCATCCCAGTCACCGAGATCTCGCCTGCATGTCAACAAGCGAGATCTCCGTATTAGTAGTGTACGGAAATTTTTTTGTCTCATATTAACGCAGTGTAACTTTTCATATTATTTTCATACCAAGGCGAGATCTCGCTTGCCGTAAACTTGTCGAAAAGATTTCTCGCTAACCGGGATAATTTTTGCCCATATGCATGAACAGGCCCTTACGCGCTCTTATATATGCACTCTCATATAAACTTTGAGCTGGTTCAAATTTTGATGACGTGTGCTGTAATATCCAATCAATTCTCATCAACTCCACGCAACCTTTGTTCTCCTTTGACTGACGCACGAGAGTTTGAAAAAGCTCTTTTCAATTAGGGCTTTATGTCAAAAGACAAAACGCGGATACACATTACATAAGACGTCTTATAACAATAGTAGGCATATCCGGCCGTAAGTCCGCAATCTTTCCGTATCCGCGTTTTAACCTTACCAGGGAAACAATGTCCCAGCATGTTGTACCATGTTTGCATGTACCGCTAACTATATGTTCGAAACCTGGCGTGATATAAGTTTGTTTGTCTCATAGTCATTGTAATTTGTAGCAAAAGAATGACCAAAAACATGCTTAGAAAAGCAAAATTCCACACCCTATAAGATACTGAACGTATTTGAATAAAAATTGAAATCTCTCATGGACCAAAATCTATCCCACTGAGCTTTAAAAGTTGCATGGTCGTGCTCTACAGGGTGTATCAAAAAAAACTGAACAGATTTAAAATTGCCCTCAATTTTGCAAAACAGCTATTTGTATCTGGTTTTTTATATATATAGCTTCTTTGGGTACTTATAATGTAAAATAATGAAAAAAATTTCTTGAACTCGAATTTTGTGAACCAGGGGGGTGTGTCTTTTCCAACAAACTAAACATGGCTCGCGCACAAAATTTAAAAGCTGCAATCATATTTTGAGTTAACAGATGGAAAATTTGTCGGGATTTTAATTAGTGTACAAAATTTCAGACAATTTGGTTTAGTTTAAGCCCCAGTTTAGTTTACATTTTTCCTAAAAATCAGCTATTAAGGCATGCAAAAGGCTGATTTTTTAGAATAAAATGAATAGTTAAAGGGCTTAAACTAAATTAAATTGTCTGGAATTTTGTACAGTAATTAAAAACCCGACAAATTTTCAATCTATCAACTCAAAATATTATTACAGCTTTTAAATTTTGTGCGCGAGCCATTTTTAGTTT